CGCACAGCATTGGGGATGCTTCTCGCCTGATTCAGTTTGGAGATGCAGATGTCATGATCGCCGGTGGGACTGAATCTTGTATCCACCCACTTGCTATTTCAGGCTTCGCTAGAGCTAGAAGCCTTTCCACTGAATTCAATGACCGGCCTACTGAGTCGAGTCGTCCATTTGACAAACAACGCGATGGTTTCGTTATCGGAGAGGGAGCTGGTGTTGTAGTTCTTGAAGTACATCTTTCTTGGCCATAACTTATGTCAATCTAACGGGTGCAGGAGCTCGAGCACGCGCAAAGAAGAAATGCACGCATCTATGCTGAAATTGCTGGTTACGGACTGTCCAGCGATGCATACCACATGACAGCACCCCGCGAGGACGGACAGGGCCCACGTCTCGCTATGAAGAATGCTTTGCGACATGCTGGCATCAAGCCAAGTGCTGTCGATTACATTAATGCTCACGCCACGAGTACACCTCTAGGTGACGCCGCTGAGAACAGGGCAATCAAAGCACTTTTGCTGGGTGAAGAAGGAAAATCGTCAGCCTTTGAGATCAACGTCAGCAGCACAAAAGGTGCAGTGGGGCATTTGCTCGGCGCTGCTGGTAGTGTGGAAGCAATCTTCACGGTGCTGGGGATACATCATGTAGGTTAAGTAAGGAGCCGCAGCGGTACAAAGGCTGATAACTTGTAGAACATCCTCCCGCCAACACTCAACCTCATTCAAGCTGGAGAACCGGCTTCTGAATTTGATTGCAATTATGTTGCGAATGCTGCTCAGCAATACAAGATCAACGTCGCGCTCTCGAACAGTTTCGGCTTTGGGGGCACCAATGCCTCGCTCTGCTTCCGTAAATTGTAAATATACAAGGCCTCGCCACATGTGGCTGCAAGGGAGGAGATTTTCTCGATATAGGCCTGGCTAAATTCATGTTTGCTAGTAGATTGAAGTGATGATATATAAGAGTGATGATAAGCAAGCTACCCCACTACGTAGGCCCGGTCTTTCTATGATAAGAACTGTGAACCCCACTCACTAGCGCCATTGCATCCCATGAACCCGTTCCAGAAGCCACACGCCATCCCGCTTCTCTTCCCCATTCTCTGCGTTCCTTTCGTAGAGGCCTACTCGATTCCTTTAGTCGTCCTGAAGCCCAGTTACGGCTTTCAATTCAACACTGACGGCTAGAGTGATGACAACTTCACAGGGCCTGCCTATTGTGGGCGGCAATAGTGGGGGCCCAGAGAGCCAGTCGTCTTTCTTCCGCAAGGCCTCAAAGAAAGCTACAGAATACCACTCACAGACTCCGTACCTAAGACGGCTTCCCTTCCCCGCGATTGCCATCATTGTCACTCTCATTGTCGTCAACTTACTTGTTTGGGCAGCCGTCGGTATCGTTTTGGTAGGTGAAGGATATTTTTTTAGAAGTGAACAACAAAAGTACTAATTTCTAGAAGCACTGGCACACGCCGCTCATTTCGACAGTCATACTTTCATATACCCTGGGTCTGCGTCATGCCCTGGATGCAGATCATATCTCGGCTATCGATCTTATGACTCGTCGCCTCATCGCTGCGGAACAACGGCCAGTCACAGTAGGCATGTTCTTTAGTCTCGGACACTCGACGGTAGTAATAGCCACATCTCTCGTCGTTGCCGGTACTGCTGCTGCTGTTTCAGATAAGTTTGACAATTTCGAGCGTATCGGCGGTATCATCGGGACATCTGTGTCCGCAGCTTTCCTACTCCTACTTGGCATCATGAACATGTACATTCTGTATAAGCTCATTGTTCAGATGCGCAAGATGATCGCCAGCGATCCCGGAGGTGAACACGAGGAGTTCAAAATCCAGGGTGGTGGATGCTTATTCCCGCTCTTACGAAGGCTATTTAAGTTAGTCGACCAGCCTTGGAAGATGTATCCTCTCGGGGTACTCTTTGGACTGGGCTTCGACACATCTTCTGAAATTGCCATATTGGGTATTAGCTCAATTCAAGCAACCAAAGGCACTTCAATATGGCTTATTTTGATCTTCCCACTGCTGTTTACGGCGGGCATGTGTCTACTTGATACGGCAGACGGCGCACTGATGATGAGTCTGTATACGAGTACCCAACTTGCACGCGATCCGATAGCAATTTGCTACTATAGCATTGTCCTCACCGCCATCACTGTCATTGTCGCGACAATTATCGGGACGGTACAGTTCCTCAATTTGATTCTCAATGTTGCTGAGCCCCAAGGCAAGTTCTGGGATGGTGTAGAAAAGCTGGGCGATGCATGGGACATTGTTGGTGTGTATTATGCTTTTGCTCAATGTGAACCATCGCACTGACATTACATAGGCGGAGCAATATGCGGTATGTTCGTTGTATTTGGTGGCCTCAGTGTTCTCTTATACAAGCCATGGAGACGACGCATCGACAAGAAGAGAGTTACCAACGCACATTTCGAGCCCCTATCACAAGATCAGGATACCCCGCAGCCTGACGAGCGTGAGTCACGTGACATAATAGAACCGGATGCTGCACTGGCCAAAAACATGCATGCACATGTGGAGCCTATTGAGGTTGCCGATGCCGCTGGCCCTGCACATCGATGATGATCTCATTTGATCCTGGGCACAGCAAGAAAAAAACAGGTGAACAAATATCTCGAGTTAAATACTAGATCTGGAAAGATTACTTAAGTCCCACGAACCCCAATATTAACAATACTAAGCAGCAAAGTTCACAGAACAAAATTGCTTGTCATTTCCATACTTCGCCTAAGCGCCTTTCCCTAAGCCCACGCTGTGAGCTAACTCACATGATAACAGTCATCATTGCCACTTTCCAGGTTCATTTCTTGTCGAGCCACGTTCCGATCTTCATCAAGTCCTGATTCTGGGCGGCGATGTCCTGCTGAGGCGCCACCGTAGCCTGAGGGATATAAGAAGCAGCGGTGCATGCGTGCACGATGTTCCCATTATTGTCGCGGGTACAAGAGCAGACCACTGTCGTGCTACAAGAGAAACTTGATATCAGAAGGGCGCCCAGAAAAGAAAATGTTGTAAGTAGACTTACGATCTCGTGTCTTCCACAGGGGGCGTAGTATGTGATGACGTCCGGCCATCAAATCCAGCCTGTGGCAATGAAGGTTGGATTGTCAAAGCTTGGGAAGCATCTTCAATGAAGGGCATGATGAGGTATAGTTGTATCAGCTGTATACTCTGCACCAACAGAATAATTTCTTTGGGGGGAAGATATAGAAAGAAGATAACAAAGAAGCACACCGTCATGGCAGCAGTGATTTAATCCAATCTTTATAACTCGACAACAACACAACACGGCCAAGGCTGGCGGCCTGCCCGTGAAAGCAAAATTGCATTCTCAGGTTTCCGTGTTTCGTACTCCCGGAGGACTACAGCGAAATGTCAACAAGTCTTTCTTCAACACGCATGGCCCGACGGAAAGATGCAAAGCCAGCACAAAATTCCGCACATCCAGCAAGTCGCCAATCATGATAGATACCGCCCTTCTTCCTTGGGCTGTTAGGCTCATGATTTTGCTGCGACCCGGCTGCATCGCCAAGCCTGATCACGTACAGTAGTCCTCAGCCACTTAGAGCATAAATCGCTACACACCGAGCAAGAGGGGAAATAAATTTTCTTGAGGACATATGTACAGTACATGGGTGTTCAGAAGGTTTGTGTAACCCGAAAACCATAAGATGGAAGAAGTTTACGACGGATGTGTAACCATAGGCCCACAGCACAGGACCGCGGTGCTGGGGCATCCCCTGTTGGATGTGTGGTGATGTGTTTCTATATCTTGCAGAGGCAGCGAGTCGGAGATCGCGGGGGTGGTGCCATGGGCCAAGGTGGCGGGAAGGCTGAGGTGGGCAAAGACGTTTTTAAGCGCACAAGGTAGATGTGCAACCAGTAAAACGGCTTTACTGGGATCGGGCAGCCCTACTGAACTACTTATGTACGTATTACAAGCGACAAGATGCGGTTTCGGCCGAAAGGGTTGCGGATCATGTTGGCTGTTGGCTAGTCGTCGGACGGGATGTTTGCATCCAATGATGTGGCTAGGTGCTAACTTTGCCCTGGTTCGTTCAGGATCTCCTGCTAAGCCGAAGGGACCCCCCACGTCCACCCGACATCATCTTCTGCAGCAGCGCGCAGCAGTGCTTACTACCGCGAAGTTCTCGCACTCGATTGGACGATCACGTACGTCCCTTAGAAGCCCAGCTAATCATTTTCACTACCTGACGTAGCCGAAAATGCCGCAATCGCGCCCATCCAGGTTATTGGATCACGACCTGGAAGCAACTACTGGTAGTCATGTCCCAGGGCGCGGTCGTGTCACGACACGATAGGGGAGATGGGAAAGTGAAGATGGGTAAACTCGGATTACGCAGTTGATGGAGGATTGTGCACTGCAGCAGGTCCTCACTCACGGCATGGGTATCCATACCACAATGCGTCTCGGGACAGACATGAGCGGGATGTCAATTGATGGTAGGAAGAGGGTAGAATGTGCTCCCTGTGTTTTCTGTACCGTGTGACGGGAAACGAAACGGACATGCATGCTACCAGGGCTCAATGTCGATAGTACACTACACAACCCCCGCGCTAATCTTTACGCGCCTACGTTTGGACATGACTAGGTATACCGTCCTGGTATGCGTCTCTGGGAAAGAGAAAAAGTCCACGTGGCGGCATGCCTAATGCAGTTGAATTAGCTGCGCTTACTTGCGGTGTACATACAGTATGCATCATGCGGCACGGCATATGGAAAGGGCAATTGCACTTAATTAGCACCACCTTTTCCCAACTTTGCATGCCACATCTGCTTTTCCAAGTCCGAATACGAAGGGTGAGTTGTCGTGCACAGAACAACCAATAAGAACATAAAGCAGCTTGGTAACAAGCAAATAAATGAGGCAGCGACTTGAGATATTCAGGCTAACACATGTCTCACTTGCATCATGTATGCATCATGCATGCGTCTCTCTTTAATTTCCGGTGCATATCTGGTTTTGTTTTCTTTGCCTTATTTTTTTTGAATACCAACATTTGTGCTACATTCGCTCACGTACATACACACATACATAAGTATGTTCCAGTTACGTTCAAAGTATCCCGACGAATCAAGATTCCCAAGTGGCAATCTTCCAGACCGCTTCTTCAGTGCCAAAGACTCGAAGCGTGTTTCCGAATTCGGCCCAGAATTTGGAATTGAAATGGGGCATGAGCTCCATTGGTTGGCGTTCGACTTGCTCGAGAGGCGTCAAACTTGTGGTGTTCTGCACAGGAGCAGCGTTCTCCCATGATCCGGGAGACTGAGATGTTTGCTCTTCCCATTTTCCGTTTTGGTGGTCTTCCTTTGTTTCAATTGGCTCTGCCTCCTCATCATCGGTTGACAACGGCGCGGTTTCTGGGTTTAGTGACATTTCGCTAAGGGCGTCGAAGACATTTTTCGTCTGGAATCTTGTTTGCTCTGCTTTCTTGCTGACTTGTTTGTTCTTTTTCCGCTGCTTCTTGGACTGCTTAGGTTCTGGGTTTTCGACGGGTGGTAACGGGACTGGCTTTTGCACTTTTTCCCGGCCGTCCTTGACAAAATCTGGTACGTTTTGATTGGTGGTAGGGTTGGATTGATTGTCCGCGCCATTGGCCGAGTTTTGAAAAAGCGGTGGGAGTGTCTTTTCTCCTCTTTCCACGCCTAGTCTAGCAGCCAGTTTGATCATGATGGTGGCGGTCAACAGACTATCGTAGCCCGCTTCATGGAAAGCCTCAATGTCTTGGTACTTGGGATGATCGGCATGAGTGATGATATCAGGCAAAGGTTGGCTGCTGAGACCTTGTGCAATATCCTGTAAAGTAGGTGACGCGTTGAGATCGCCTTCGGCAAATGTGGCCAGATACTTGGTGTCGATTATTTTAGGGAACAGCTCGTGTATAGCGTCTTGGAAATCGTTCAATGTGTCCTAGTCAACTTCATTAGCATAACGCAGAGACATGTATAGAACTCCTCATGACGCACAGGCAACTCGCCAACGAATGTGCGGTAAAGATATACAATGTCGGTGAACATGTTATGACCAACAAGAACTGGCTGTTTGGTCTTCAGTCTCTCCATGGCCTTATCGAAACGAGTGCGTGTGTCATCTGTATCTGCCGTTGGAGCCATACCTGTCGTCCGAGCAACGTACAGGAGGTCAGTTCTACTGAGATTGCCACCTTTGACAAGAGCCTCGAAAATCCAACGAAAGCCAGTTTGACGCAATATGGACTCGTCGACGCGATTCTTCATTCGTTGCATATTTTCTGCTTCGCGAACAGGATCAAGCTGAATGATGCGAACGCATTCTGAGCGACCCATAGTCACTAGGTCAGGAAATTCAGCACGCACGAGTTGATGAACCAAGCGCTTTTCAAAGCGCGTTATTACTGGGATTTTTGGTCGTTCAGGGAGCCCAGTGTGGGTTGTGATATCTAAACCAGACGAAGTGGTGGTCTTCCATTTGTTGATGGCTTCCCTGACACGACGCATAAAGTCAAGAGACTCGACATCTCCCTCCTTAAGCTGGAGGTCGGGTACGGGGTTCTTCTTCTCCAGACGGTCACACGCCATCTGCTTTGCTTTGTCTGCCTCTTGTCGCGACAAATATTGCACGCCGTTGGCAAAGGGCAAGCCAAGGTCAAAGCCATTTTTGAGCAAAAAGGTGCAGGCACCACTTTGAAACCGGATCTCGCGCTCAAAGTCGATGCGCTCATCCAACAATGGGCTGATATCGATGTTGTATGGGCGTAAGACGTACTTGTTTGCTATATAGTCGAATCTTGCGCACGTAATCCCTACCTGTAGGATCTGATAGCGATCGGCTCCCATCTTGGTTTCGGCATAGCGTTCCTCCATGGTAAAACGTCCGGGGCCGCGCGGGGGTTTATCCTGGATGCGGGAAGGGATACCGGAGAGTTCTAAGTCGAATGAGACGAAATCCGCCTCGGCGATGTTGATGAGTATCCACAAGAGATGGTGCGGGAAGGTGGCTGCGTCGACGTCCATGTTTGTGGGAATAACGAGGATTGCGGTCAAGCAGCATAGGCAGTTTGCGATAATGATATAAGCTTGTAGACGAGGGTGAATGTCAATGGTGGTAAAGGCAAAAGAAGCAGCTGTCAAGAAAAAGTGAGTGGCAAGGCTGCTATCTGGAGGCAGTTGCGAAGCTAAGGTGGTCAGGAGCGATCAAACAGGCAATTCTCAGCCGGTGACTCAGAGCTTGTGGCAAGCAAGCAGACAGTTGCGAAGCGAGTTGATTGCGCATCGCGGCCATGGTGGTAGTACAATGTCTGCAGATACCGCATGTATCGTAGAGTGCAAGCATAACTATATTGCTCGTCACGTGTCGGGGTGCGGAAATGAGGAGAGGGTTGCTCGGCCAGTTGACGCGCCAAGACATGACTGACAGCGAGAAAGCCGAGGTCGAATGTTGTGACGACGCGGAGTGTGGAAATGCACACCACCGAGCCGCGCCCCCCGTCTTTCACCGCTATGAGCCCGTAAACGCCGTCCGGAACTCCTCGCCAGCACTTTTATCGCGTCTTGCAGGGACCATGGCGACTCTCTACGACGATGTCAGCGGGTCGCGCTACCTGTCCACGTCTATCTCGTCGCTGTCGGCATCGCGGCAACAAGCCTCCCAGATCGCCAAAGCCTACCGCCAGGCCGCTCAGCTGTTCCTGACGCGCCGCCTGCCAGAGGCCCTCTCCACAATCGAACCCATCATCACCCCGCCGCCCCTAGACGACACCAATGGCCCCAATGGCGACCTTGTAGGACATGCGCCCGTAGCAACCGCGTCTCGCGGCACCCGGATCAAGGTCTGGAGCTTCTACCTCACCTTTTTGAATGCCGTCATCGAACTGGGTGCCGAAGAGGGCAAGCATGCCTTTGGTAGCACCCGCTGGAAGCAGCTAGTGTCCAAATGCCGCGACGGTAGCATCTGGGAGGATGTAGTGCGCGATGGCTATGCTGGAGTCGAGGGTGACGTGGATGCCGATGTTGTTGTGAACTTGTATGCCGAAAGTAGGCCGTGGATGTGATTTCTATACTAACCACCATGCAGAGCGACACTGCTACTCACACATGCTCCCTCCCAGCGCCTCAATCAACAGAAGCTCGAGACATATCTCTCCGCATCTGCGACACCCACACTCGACATCGCCTCACACATGGCCTCGCCGTCATACCAAGAGAAGCGCCCTGGTAATCACAGGCAGCACACCGGCACAGACACCCCGCGCGACCTCGAAAAGCGTATTAAGCTGCTCGAACTGTACACCCTACATGTCCTGCCCCGTAACGACGAGTGGGACTACGCCCGCGAGTTTATCAGCATGTCAGAGGTCCTTGATGACGAGCGCAAGGAGGCTTTCCTGCTCGCTCTGCACTCGCTCAAAGAAGAAAAGGAGGACACCGAGGCAAGGGAGGAGAAGCTACGCCAACAACAGCAAGAACAGATGGAGCAACGCCGCAGAGAAACCGAGGCAAGACGTCTTGAACAGTCTCGCGCAGAGGACGAGCGCCGGAAACGCGAGGAAGAAAACCGTCGTCAGCCCCGAGGCTCGGACGAACGTTTCCGCAAGTCACAACCCACCCCTCAACCCGTCCCTTCGCAATCTTCTCGAACATCTCGCACTCCACCCAAGAAATCCATGAGTCCACCACCGGGTTTCTACAATCGCGCCTCCACTGTGCTTGCTAATATCCAAAACCTGATATCTAATACTGCACATTCCATGACTGCAAATCCAATGGCTTTTTTCCGCACCCTCCTCTTCCTGCTCGCATTTGGCCTTGCATTCGGCAGAAGGGACCTCCGAGAAAGGATAATGAGGATCATACGTAATGCTTTGGACAAGGTCCGGCGCACCGTCGGCATGGGTGTAAAGGTTTCCTATATTTAATATGATGCGTTTTTAGTTTCATTCGTAGTTGTGGGAAGCATAGGTGAAGGAGAGAAGGAAAGATGTCTCTTTTCTATGTTTTGGTTGGGTATGCATGCATCTCCTATGTATTGATATCGTGTACAAAAATTCCGTCGGCATGTGTCTGCGTTCAACGATGCTGCATACTGCCTGTTTCTGACGTCATGTGAAATTGCCCTTGAACCCATGCCTTACTCAGGAAAGCACTACAAAGAGGCTCTTCAAACACTTTTCTTCGCAGACTTGAGCGTCTTGCTCCTCTGCTTCATCATATACGTATACATTGTATACGAACCTACATTACAAGTCAGCAATCCACGCACTTCTCCCTCTTTCCTTGGGTATCTCTCTCCACTTACCAGGAACATACAACGCAAGGCAAAAGTAGAAAAACGGTGGAATCAGCCTGTTAATGCTCCCTGCAGGCTCAGCAGCCCGATACAACAACCACCACTCTGCTCCAATTCCCACTGGGTACAGCGGGTAAAACATCGTGTACCTTTACTCCCGTATCAGCTTTTTCCACTCCCGTCAAGCTATTTCTTAGTAAAAGAAGAAGAGGAGGAAAACGTACCTAAGCCAAACAAGCCACCCAGGCGCCCTCCCATGCATATTCAGCGCAAGATAAAAATACCGAATTGCATCTGCCGTCGACCACGCTAGCAAAAGCGCCAAATACGCGCTTGACGATGCGGTGCTGGCAGGGAAACAAAACCACACCATCCATACCTGGATCACGCGTGTGATGACTTGCAGGGCAGTGGTGCTGACGGGGGATTTGATGAGACCTATTTTCGTTCTTTATTAGCCTTCCGGGCTCTTTTTTTGTTTTGATCGAGGTTTAGTTTAGTTTAGTTTGGTTTGGTCTAGTTAGAAAATGAAATGGGAAAGGAGGGGAAGGAAAAAAGGAGGTTACCAAAAGCGGCATGCAGCACTTCTAGCAACGAGGCTGTTTGGATCCAGCGGGCATAGGGTTCCGTAGCACGGAAGAGGTCGATGCGGGAAGAGGTTAGGGCGTGGGATGTTGCGTGGACGAAGATGGAGGCCCAGAGGGAGGCGAAGATGAGGTTGTAAGATGTTAGGTAGATGAGGCGGGTTTGGGATGGTGGTGTTTGTTTTGCGTATGGGGGGCGTTGGGTTGCCATTTTTTTTGTAAGTATTTTTTGTACCTCTTGTCCCTTACTCTTTTTGCTGATAAAGTAGTGTCTGGGGTTTCGAATGTAAGGTGGTAGTTGACTTTGTTCCGTCTGCACAGACTAGAGAAAATTGTCTGTCAAGATCTCCAAGGCGCATGTGGATGCACTTGAGCCGAGGCTATCTCACTTTTTCCCTTGTTTTCTTGGTAAGACAAATAACGCGGGCCGCTTGTCAAAAAGGGTGCCTTGCCGAGAGCGAAATCTTCTTGTATTCGGTACGACATCGTGCTTTGTTCTTCGTTTCTTCGTCTGGGATGAATATACCACTACATCGTGATTTCCAGGGTCTTGCTGTTCCAAGGATCGAAAACGAATAGCAGGGGCTTCGCCAATAAAGTTTGCCGGGTATAGCTACACAGCCAATTAGCGAGGGCATGAAACGATGTTATTGGGTAGGAACGTAATGGCGCTTTCCTATTTTGTTTACCTGTGTAGCATTGTTATACTGCGTTGTTCGGTTATCCCGAAAGGGATATATGGAGATGCAACTCAAGGTAATATGGGGAAAGAAAAGACAAGATAAAATGCCCTTGGTAAGGCAAGAAACTGCTCAAATCTTGTGAAAACATTGCCGTCGGTGTCTTTGTTCGCACCTTCCGCAAATCGCCTTGCGATACTCGACTTTGTCACGTGTTGTGGTCTCCGCTAATCACGCCCTACTATCAACATCCAAATCCTTCGACTAACAACATAAAGCCAAGCACCGCATCCTATCAGAAACTCGTCACTAACAATGTCCTCACATATCCCTCACCTCGTTCTACCACGCCCAGGCGCAGAATCTCTACTATCTAACTCGCCAATCCCTGCCCCTGTTGAGAAATCTTTCACGTCTGCTTTCGGCACCCTGCTCCCACCGGTCCGGTATCTCACCAACAACAATGCAAAAGCCGCATACTACTCGATACCTCCATCCTCGTCTCCAGAATTAGACAAAAAATCGCCCGAGCGTGTGCTCTTCATCCACGGCGTGCAGACTCCCGCTTTAGGTATGCTTCCGTTAGCTCGCAAGCTACATGCATCTATTCCTTCGGCGCATTTTGTATTGATTGATTTATGGGGCCATGGACTGAGCGACACCCCAATTGCTTCTCATGAGGCGGGCCTATTCTACGGGCTGATTGACACGCTACTGGATCATCTAGAATGGCCGTTTGCACACCTTGTAGGCTTCTCCTTTGGCGCATCGTTGACAGCTGGTTATGTTGCATCACGGGCTACGCGTGTCCAAAACTATGTGTTGGTTGCACCTGCGGGACTTGTCAAGCGTTCCTCTCTCACGCCGGCTGAACAAGAACATTTCCAACATGACTGCGACGAGGATGCTGCGCGGCAATGGGTCGCGACCTGGCTCGAGGGCGGAGAGCTAATTGTCCCATCGGATTGGAAAGAAAGAGTTGCACGGGGAGAAGTAGTGGCCGAAGCTATACGTGAGTGGCAGGCCCGCAATCACCCTGGACACACGGCATCCGTAGTCGCTATTGTCCGGGATGGCGGTGTGATGGATAACCACGAGAGTTTCGAGAAAGCGGTGGTAACAGGTGTACCCTCGATGGTGGTGTTGGGAGAGAAAGACGATCTGTGTACAGAACAAGAGCTACGAAACTTTGGTTTCGACAGTGTTTTCGTCGTCCCAAACGCTGGACACGGTGTGGTGCGGGACAAAGTACCAGAAGTCGCAGGGTTCATTGTCGAGTTTTGGAGAGGATAAAGGGAGAAGTTTCGCAATACGCCACTCACGTCAGCACCTTCATAAGATATTGAAGCCGCGTCCCAATATTCTTGACCGCTGTTGTCTGGACAAGGGATTACGTTAAATCAATTTGCAATGCAATGCTTTCTTCTCAACACGTCGTCGACTCAGGAAGCCAGTCAGCTACCCAAAAAATAGTGCTGGCTCCAACCAACTAAAGCTACCAACAAAAAGCATTATATCGCTGACTGCACAGGTGTTGGAGGCAACCCAGCGCCAGATGGCGTGTCAAGCACGGGCAGTGACAGTAAAAAGGCGCAATGCTTACCACCAAGCCAATCGGGATGGAATCACATCAAAAACCAGAACCTTATCTCAATAGTACGAGCGAATTGCTTCGTAAGCTCCGAACGCGGAGAAGGACGACGTTGGCAGAAAGTTGCGGGGTAGCCACGCGCAGTTGGAGTAGCTTTATGCTTGGCTTGTGTAAGGCTACCATTTGGTATGAGTAGCAGGGGTGCCACACACGTTATCTGCATGTCGGTACAAGGCAGAGAGGCATGCCAGCCCAGCACGTTGCACGTTGCACAGCAACGTGCCCCACAGTCATGAATTGCTTTTTTGTCCATGAGCTCGATTTTGTGCTGGCAGGACGAGGGGCTACATTCATAATTACTGTGGGTGGATCTGCACACTAATGCCGCTCCAGATTCAACACCCTCCTGTCACGTCACGGCATCCACCTGCCACTTCGGGCTAGAATCGGTCGCGGTGGTATCTGGTTTATCGAGCATAAGCATTGCCTCCAAGCCACCGGGCGCGGCTATAACAATGCTTTAGGCTGCTTGGTAGGCTGCCATTATCCTGCATCTTGATCCTCTTGCAATCCACGGAGCCAAGCCGTGGTAGAAAGCAACATGCACTTTACAATATTAGCTGGCTGCATCGGTGCCGCAACAACTGCAGCAAGTATACGACTTGGTGGATCACATACCGACGTCGACGTCCAGGGCATTGCACGCAACGACATTGAAATCTTCCTGGGTATTCCGTACGCAAAAGATACCAGTGGCGAAAACAGATTCAAGCCTCCGATTCCCTACGAATACACACCAGGCCAAATCATCGATGCTACAAAACCAGGTCCCGCTTGCCCGCAGCCACTGGGCGCGCTCTTTGTACCTCTTGGATTGGACAACATTACTGAAACGTCTGAGAACTGTTTAAACTTGAATGTGGCGAGACCAAAAGCCGAGGATCGAGAGGGCAAAGGACCACTACCGGTACTTGTATGGATACACGGCGGGTCTTTCTGGTGGGCAAGCAACAATGAACCAACGACAGCTCCCGATGGCATGATCAAGCAGTCAGTAGAAAACGGATTGCCCATTATGCACGTAGCCATGAACTACCGACTGGGATTCTTTGGCTTTGCAACGTCGGACTCGCTCAAAGAAGAGAGAAGCATGAATGCTGGGCTGCGTGATCAACGTGCTGCTATCGAATGGGTTCGTGACAACATCGCTGCGTTTGGTGGGGACCCGGAAAGGATTACCATCGCCGGACAATCCTCCGGTGGTCTGGCCATCGGCATGCATATTTTGGCTTATGGCGGGGAAAAGCCACTGCCTTTCCAGCAGGGCGTTGCGCAATCACAGTCCCTTGAGCCTGGTATTACAGGCACGTTTTCCAGGGATGCAATGACGGCTGTCGTCGACTATGTTGGATGCAATACGACCAAACTCGATGCACCGGAAACGATTGAATGTTTGCGCGCCTTGGATACCGAGACACTTTTTAATGCTTCAGAGGCAACGTATCAGAGTGACATCGCGCACAATATTGGCGATATCTGGTTGCCTCAAGTAGACGGCGATTTTCTTCCAGCTCCCCCCAGTCAGCTGATTGCCGAAGGTCGTTTTGGAAATGCGACATTCATGTCGGGCTGGATGGAAGGTGATCTCAACGTCTACACAAACACATCAATTGCAACCGATAAAGACACATACGACTTTATTCGCGGTTACCTACCAGGCATGTCAGAGGAATTGCTGGCCGAGCTGCTCGACCTGTACCCTGTTGAAGAATTCGGAACCAGCGTAAACTTGACAAAGGAATTCTACCGCTCAGCTCGCATCTTCCGTGACATTCTCATGGTGTGTCCGTCGCTGCACCTCGGATCAGCGATTGAGAAGAAGTACGAAGGCCCTGTGCACTTTTACAACTTCAACCAGACCATTCTTGATCCCATACTCGAGCAGGTCACAAATATCTCTGGGTTCGGCGTAGTCCACACATCGGAGTTTGCGTACATTTTCGATAGCATGCACGTGTACAATGATTCGGGCTATATTGTCCATCCTACCGCGTACGATTATGAGGTTGTCATGCGAGCGAGCCGGTCTTGGAGCACATTTGTTAGCCGTGGCGTGCCAGCACTAGATAGCCCTGGGTCGACAACGTTGCTGAACTGGGATGAGGCATTTAGTCGGCCTGGTGGACCATATGTAAGGACGATTGGGGGCTCGCATCCAAGCAATAGTGCGTTGGGGAGAGTGAACGCGACGCTGGAATTCTCTCAGCAGAGGCTACAGGAACGATGTGGGTTTTTCAACAGCCCAGAGGTAATCCAGGCATTGCAGTATTAATAGCAGCGTGGCCAGGCGCGGAGTACTGGGAGAATGTTGTACATAGATGCGTAGGTGCCGAATACAGAAGACCCGTTATACGATGAACAGAGCCTCGAGAACATGAGATCCGGTACCCATACCCCAACTCACGGCTCAGTCCGTCCTCTTGCAGTGTAAAGGGACCAATAGCCCCACTAATCATCCTCCTCCTCCTCCTTCTTCTTCTTCTTCTCCACATCCTTCTCTTCACCCTTGCCCCCCTCGGCCAACCCCAGAATAAACTCCCACTCCTCCTTCCTAACCCTACAAACACTCAACCTCGAATTCGTAACAAGCTGCATATCCCTCAACGGCCCCCCCTCACTCGCAAACCCCTTAATCTCATGCAAATCCACAACCCTTTCAAACTCCCTCACAAACTCCACCCCAACACAATACCACTTGGGATTGTCACGCTGTGACTTGGCATCATAGTACGGATCCTTTGGATCAAACGCCGTCTCGTCAACGAACGCTTCTTGCGCGACGCGCAGGATGCCGACGACACCTGAAGGCTTGGCATTGGAGTGGTAGAAGAAGCCTAGGTCGCCTTTGCGCATCGCTTGCATGTTGTTGCGGGCTTGCGGGTTGCGCACCCCGGACCAGGGCTCAGGCTCTGTGCAGGCGCGCAGGTCGGAGATGGAGAAGGCGACGTTGATGCCGTTTTCGTAGCGGGGGAGGGGTTCGGCTTTGAGGAGCCAGAAGACCTCCTGGTTGCCGTTTGCATCGCGATTGGATGGGGACGTGGATTCGGGTGGTGGCGCGGGTTTGGATTTGGATGTTGGGGGTTCTGAGGCTTTGGGGGCTTTTGGGGCTTTTGCTGAGGCTTTCTCCTTGGTCGTGCTCGCTTTGGATGCCTTGGATTTTGAAATGGCGGTTTTTTTGGGCGGTGGTAGGCCGGCATCTGCTACATCGTCGTCTTCATCTTCGCGGGTACGCTTCCGACGCGTCGACTTGGTCGTACTACGTTTCGATTGTGCTTCTTCAGCCGATGATGATGGATCTTCATTATACTTTGGTGCTACAGACGCCTTTTGACGCGTGGAGCTTCGTGTTCCAGCCATGATGAAGTTGTGATTGTGATGTAATGCTCGTGGAGTCTGCTGATGTCGTGCGACGTGAACGCGCCTCGGGATGGCCCGATTGCCTTTTACCTTACTACATCATCAGGACCTTTCTCTCCATCACGCACACATCGAATATATACACACAATGCCCACCACAACTTCCACAGCAAAATCCGGAGAGGGCACGTCGAAAATGATTTGCCCTGTCAAGAATACGACTGTCGAAGAGCGGGACATTGTAATTACAATGTTGAACGAGGGCTGCAGTAATGCTGAAGTTGCAGCGCACTTCAACCGCGACCCTGCGACTATCAGGAAATTGTACAAGAAATAATCCAGCACCAACTCGGCAAAGGACAAACCTCGCAGTGGTCGCCCAAAGGTATTGTCTTGTCAACAGGAGAAGCTCCTGTGTTGTGCGGCTCGCCGCTCAGGGCCGAAGATCACATACAAGGAGCTCACCGAGGCTGCAACCGTGGTGCAGTCTGATGGAACTACTTTGAAGCCGCCTTCCATAAAAACGTTGTATAGGGCGCTCCGTAGTCAATATCTGGTGCCCCCGCGTCGCAACAGGTGAGCCTGGTCCGTGTTTCTCATATCCGGACAGGGCTCTGCATTATTGTAACTGGATACTAGATGCCGGTATGCCGGTATGCTGGTACGCCGTAACACCGGTATGCTGGAGTAACAGGGCTAAACATGTCTTATCGAGCGTACGCTTTACTTGCTGCTTTCGTTCGCTAAAGGGACGAGTGGGTCCGCGATTCTGTATGGTGTTGTATCCATTATACAGTACGTATCCACAAGCCTCGGTAAAACGTCACATAGATTGCCGCTTACAAACAGATGGCCCAGCTAACGGGGGAAAAAAGGCGGACTACAATTGATAATAATGTTGATTGTAAAGGCCACACCACGCAAAACCTCGGGATTTAGTATTGTTTTCGTACGAAGGGCCGTACTACCGATGCGTACTCCAAAGAGTGGAAACTAGTGGTCTAGCTTCTGTCCATACAGCTTGCTGCCCCGCGCGGTCTTCTATCCTCAACCGTACGCTCCTACGAGCAGAACCACCTTGGCGTTTAAGCTATAAAAATGCCTCCATGTCGTGTTTCCATACCTCCAAGTCACTCATCGACCTGCATCAACACGAAGTTTCTTGCACAAGACAAGACGCATCATGGACGGCTTCGATAAGAAAACACTCAAAACCTCTCGAGGCTACACATACACCTACTATACCTCTGCTGGTGACTCTTCGCTCCCAACTCTGCTCTTCCAGCATGGCTTCCCCGACCACGCCGCCATGTGGCAACAAGTTGCAAGCGGAGTGAAGTCGCTCAACCACCCCATTATCATCCCAGATATGCTTGGCTACGACGGAACCGACAAGCCCACGGACCCCGCAGCATACAAGTTCGAGCTCATGACCAAAGACATTGTCGAGATTCTCGATGCTGAAGGCGCACAAAAATGCATTTCCATTGGCCACGACTGGGGCTCGATGTTTGCCTCGCGCCTATACCAATACCATCCTGAGCGAGTAGTCGGCCTGGTAAACATCAACGTCGCGTACTCACCATTGAACCCCGCCCCATACGATCTCGATGCGGCCAACGCCATGATGGAGAAGATTTTCGGATACGCACTCTTGAGTTACTGGTATGTTTTCACTGCCCCCGACGGCGCCGCTCTCCTCGAACGCAATCTCGACCTTAGCTACGAGATCATGCATGTGGAAGCCGACCTCATGAAGACTATCCTTTGCACCAGAGGCGTCATGCGGGACATTCTAGAGGGCAAAGCAAAGTACGACTTGAATATTCGACCCTACGCGCGGGACCCCGCGTTCAGGAAGACGTTTATCGACCGTATGCGCCGCGACGGCTTCGCGGCTCCCACGTGCTGGTACAAGGCCATGATCACCAACGTCCAGTCCGAGAGCGATGCACAGGTCCCCCAGGAACGACAAAAGGTTAATGTCCCCACACTATACTTTGGTGGCACAGGGGATGTCGTGTGCAGGCCGGAAACGATGAAAGTACCTGTCGATGCTGGGTGGCTGCCGCACCTGGAGAATGCGGGCATGATTGAGGCGGGGCACTGGACGCCGTATGAGACGCCGCAGGAGGTGATTGGCAAGTTGGAGCCGTGGCTGAAGAAGAATTTTGCAAAGTGAAGGGGAGGGGAGACGAAGACGTCAAGGTCGAGTGGTTATTTCAGATTATGTTAGTTTTGAGATATGATAAACAAACAAATGAACTCAAGAAATCGGTCATGTAATTTCGATTCGACTACAATCAAATTAGTCTACCTACTTCCTATCTTCTCCTCTCCCCTCCAACCGCTACTACACATACCATCTTTCTTAAACAGGCACAACATGATTAGCAGGAAACAACTTCCCAATCCCACAATAAACTCCCCAATACCAATCCCCATTAATATCTGCCGCCTCTCTAATCTCCGCCCCCCGTGGAAACGCCAACTCATCATCAACCCCCTCATCCGGCCAATACGCCCAGCGCGCCAGCAACCTCAATCCCATTCCCCCATCTGGCGGCACACGCATAACCCTCCCCATGTCCTCCTCCTTCATCGCATAACCCCCCACAAGATCCTTTACAACGATGCGTCGCTGGGCGCCATCTCGATCCTCAAACCCGACGACGTACATGCGGTGAGAGCGCAGACACTTGCGCCAGCCGGACACACCGTCTTCCTTGGGGATGCGGCCGCTGACCCCGAGTTTATGGTAGCAGCTCGTGCAGATGTCGTAGTCACCGGCGTTGCATTTGAGGCAGTGGAAGCGCGTGGTGGAGGGGGCGATGGGGTAGCGGCAGACGTTGCAGAGGGTGGTGAAGGTTAAGGGGCGGAATATGGAGTTTGCGATTGTGAAGTAACCGGGGCCGCGGGCGAGGGAGGCGGATTTGGGGGTTAGAGGGGCGACGAGTGGGGTTGTTGTTTCTGCTGTATCTGAGGAGGGTGGTGCTAGATGTGAGGATTCTAGGCGGGGGGTGGAGGGAGTTGAGGGAGTCGCATCGGTGGTTGTCGATTGCGAGTCTCGAGCTTTCTTTGCGACGGGGACGAGGGGATGGGTGCAGTGGCGGCCTTGGTTTACGCAGTCGTTGCAGTAGCCCCAGTCGCCTTCGTTGCAGTAGTCGCATTTCCAGTAGCAGGCGTTGGCGTAGGCTTTGCAGTTTTCGCAGAAGACGCCGATTTCCACTCGCTGATTGGGGTCATCTTCGCTCATTAGAACGTGCGGTGGGGTGCTAGATTCTGTGAGTGGTGTCATGGGCCGTCGGTATCGACGCCCGATTAGGATATGAGGGTGCTCGTGGTTGGGTGGATAGCCTCCTTCGGGTGCTTCTCGCTCATAACGAGGCCATGCTGTCCAGCCAAATCCAAACCAATGCTTACAGCCTTTACCGAGGCGGTAGCAGCGGACACAGATGCTATACTCGCCTCCATCGCAGCGGCTACAGTTGTAGTGCAACTCGTATTGAATGTCACTCTTGTTGCAGCGCTGGCATGTAATGTTGGGCTCGTTGTAGAAAATGGGCGCGATTGAAGAAGCGGCAGAAGTTTGCCTGGACCGAGGCAGTGGGACAGTCAAGTCTGTGGTGGAGCGGGTGATTGGAGGTGAAGCCGTTGGCGGAGTGTTACTGTTTGAAGCATGTGGCAATGTGACACGAGCGGGATCGGTTGTGCGACGCGATGTTGGAGGGTGGAGAGGTGTGGCTGCAGGCGTTGAGGATGAAGAAGTAGGTACGGCTGTAGTTCCTACAGTAGCCAAAGAGCTTGTCGGACTACCACGACCTGGTATGTTGAAATCTGGTAGCTGGGGCGAACTAGGATTCGAGCTCGCGCTGGATTGCACACTGTCGCGGAACTGTTGGCGGGCATCAAGCCGGCTTCGTTGTTGATTGTCCGACTGGCGGCGGCGTGCTGGGGGCGCCGTCTCTGATGCCGATACCCGTTCACTGCTGCTGTTATTTTGCGAGTTCCCAATGGCCAAGTTTGCACTCGGACGTTCAATTCTTGTGGCTGAGCGGGAACTGCCTTGACTTGATGACCTTTGTCGCGGTGCCCGCCCACCACGGTTAGCAGCATCAATTAGGCCTGGTCGTGATATTGGAGGTCGTAAAGTGGCTTGCGGAATTGAAGACCCACTTTCCGACCGGCCATGGTGTCTCCTTCGCTGTACATCTTCGTCCCGTAGATGAGGACTGCGCAAGGGCTGAGGAATAAGCGGGGATGATGTGCTAGTGAGACCTTCTCTTGCTAGGCGTTCTCTCCTTTGCCTTCGTTCGCGTTGCCGCTCGGCCTGCCGTCGCCGCACTGCTTCAGCAATCCTCTCCGTGATTTCCTCCTCCTGTGCGGTGCCAATCTGATTCAAATCAAACCCCTCTGATACAAGCTCTTCCAGCACCTGCCGCACAAGGTCCTCGTCCACCTCGTCGGCATCAAGATCGGACGAGCTCAGCAACGAGCGCAAACTCGACTGGTGCTCGACAGCCCTGGGCGGTCTTGCAGATGCAGCCGAAGGGTTCCTGCTGGTTGGGTGTCTTGTGTCTCGACTTGCACGCGAGTCGGTGCTAGTAGCGCGGCTTCTTTCTCTCCTCCTCCGCTCCCGTGATGGTCGCAGGTTGTTATTGTTGCTGCCCGGTATGTCCGCATCTCTCAAGCTCAGCTGCTGGGCCTCGTTCAACATGCGCTGATCTACGTCATCACGCTCGTCTCGCCGCCTGAGCTTGGGAAGTACGTTGTCCCCAGGCTTGTATTTATTCCGGTCCGCCTGTTTCTCTTCCTCGGTCTTGCCTCTTTCCGGATTGGCTTTTATGAAGATGTCGAGGAGGGTGGTGACGGTCGCATTGGGCTGTGTGGTGCGCACCGAGGCGCGGCATGACGGGCAGGTGTATGGGTGTATCGATGTAGCCGTAGAGGCCTGGAAGGCGAACCATTCCTTCAGGCATGCGCCGCAAAAGGTGTGAAGGCAATCAAGAAGCGTCAGCGGCTGGTAGAGAAGGTCGGTACAGATCTGGGCAGGGAACCGTTAGCAGGCGTAGCCCTATGACTCGGCAGGCCTAGACGAATAGCGAAAAGAAGAAACGAGAGATCCGGATATTAAGATCTCTTTACATGTCCATACGCCCAGAGACACCCTCTTGGAACATTGCAACCATCGCCAGGCCTGGCTTAACACAATGTCGGCCATGCCGCATTCTCGCTGGGCCGCTCCCCACCTTCGCGCCGCCATGAAACCTGAACCTGAACCTCGACTTACCGAGCACGTTAACTCCTTCTCCAGGTCGCTATGTACTCCGCCAGCGCGCTCGCCCTCAGCCATTTTTCGGTGCAAACGTAATGTCGTGAATGAGCGTCATGAGCAGCAGCGAGGTTGCGGTCTGGCTAGCTAGCTGAGCTGTGTGCGGTCAGCGACTCGATGCCACCATGCACTTGGCGAGGCACTGACTTGGGTGAGCGGACGTGTCATAGGCTGCCAGCGCATGTACGATTCCACAGCGACGCCGCCCGCCCAAGGAATTGAGATCCCCGTCCGCATTCTGCATCCTCTATATGTGGGCCGCATGCAGCGAGCGTCGGCATCTTGCGAAGCGGCATGTCACGCGAGTTGGTGTCGTACTAGCACGTACTGGCTGCGCGATGCCGGCATGCTCGAAGCACCAACGTCGGTAGGAAAAGGGCTTGTGGGACTACCCTGGCCACTTTGCTGACCAGCACATGACAAAAGTCTCGAAGTATTTGTGTTGATGGACTACAGCCACTGCAGGCCCCTCATACTCGTCCCGTCTTGAACTCGACGCTTGGCGGCCCCATCAAGCTTTCTAGTCCTGCCACACATCTTGTTTTGTGCATCGTTTCGGCTGTACCACAATCGGCAGGGCACCAGCTCCTGATCAAAGCACACCCCAGACATAGATCACTCCATGGGTCGCACCGGGTACATGTCATCCGGGAATATCAGGTATCCAGATTTCCGGGCCTGAGGTTTCGAAACCTCAGGCAAACGACCGCAATGCCGCCGAACCACTGGTGTTCTACAAGGCCACGATATCCCTGTTGTGCAATTGAACATCACTCTATAGCTGGATACTGCAAGACTCCTCTCTTGTATGTGCCTTCAAGAAAAGGTGTTGCGTAACCTTGACCTAAACATCTTGTGCCGAGTCCTCTTGTTTTTCTTTGTATCTTTCCAGAGTTTGATTAAGAGTCCCTTCAATCTTGATGAATTGAACGACTACAAATCACCTGTCAATACATAAAGTAAAAGTAACTTCAGCATGCTTCCATCTATTATTTTTGTGCAGAAAAGTAAATCTCATTGCCGAGGAAATAAATCGAACTTGACCTGCATTCCACGCTCCACAATATCGTTACATTTATCAGCCTACTGGCTAATTCTTGCCCGTATGATGCTTACACGACGCTACCCACACTTGACCCTTTGCACCTCATGCCTTTTGGCACTGGGCAGTGGTAAGCTGACAGTCGAAACATACTCTATGTATTGGACCTTAGCTCATAGTATCGTGACAACTACACAAGAACTTTATTCTAGCACTCTCGCTCAACTATCTTTCTGCCGAAGACTGGTGTAGACATCACGACGACGATTCAAAAACATCTATATTAGATAAAGATAACTTATGTATTGATTCATACATGTTATATCTCCCCTCAACTGTCTACAAGAATTCTTCCCCTTGAAGAAAAAGCTACAGTACCCCAACCAAAGCAGGAAAAAAGATTCCAAGAAAGCTTCTTCGGCACTGAAATTTGAAACAACCTCCCTTCCCACCCTATCACTAGAAGCTCATTAAAAAAAAGTTAGGAATTAAAGATACATATCTCATATCCCTCATATTTATCGCCCCAGGTAGAAGTCATTTCTAGTCATGAATACACTGCGCACAAGTCTCAAAAAGCCCACAAAAGTACTTTGCGCACTTATATCCGTCGCAGCATTGTTGGTCGGATTCGCCCCAGGTACAGCCATCTATTTTTCCCAGTTAGTCTTCAAAGAATGTTTGTTTGGGGGCAAAGTTTGGGTCTTCAAGGCGGGTTTTTTTATTCGGGAGAAGTTGGGAAGAAAAAAAGGGGGGGGAGGTCGCGGACCGTAGAGGCCTCCGCATTTAGCATCGCCATGAATGGCTCCATTATCTGGTTAGGGAGCAGGACTGGCGGCGGCTAGAGTGGCGGCGAGACAGACCAAGGTGATCGTGAAGGTCTTCATGATGGGTGGGTTTTTGAAGTGGGAGATTCGTGTGTGGAATTGAAGGTTAGGAAGTAGAGGATGGGGAAGTGAGGGTTGCTGTTGGATGAGTAGTAAGAAAGTTGGTGTAGATTCACTGAATTATTTATATTTTCCTCTCTACCTATACACGTAGTCACAAGACATATATTTGAAGCTTGCAGTCTGTCCAATTTGATGTTGGAAACTTTGTTCAAGCAGTGGAAAAGTAAAGTAGGTCCGAGGAGGACTTACACAAACTGACAAACTATGCAGCGGCCATGGACCTCTTGGGCACTATACCTTGAGGCAACTTGACTCCGCGTATGTACAGATGCGGGGTTATAAATCTAGATATACAAAGGTGATTAAAGCTCAATTGAAACATTAAACCTAGTCAGGCTGTTTCGTGATACACAGCAAAAATCATTCTAGTTCTTGCATACAAGTGTGTTCAATGATATCTTCTTTTGCATCTTGTTCCCATTGTGCCAGTCCATGTTGACGGGATTCCTACTGTAAACTATATGAGCGCCATGAAGTTAGCTAGGACCTTTTGTAGCGCTTACAATATTACTCCTGGTGAGTGCCAAGAGCTGCGTACGTGAGTACTAGTCAGCTTTACAAAGGTAAACTAACACAGAAAAGTTCAGGAATATAACTCAAGTCCCCTGACCTTACCAGAGTTAACATATTCGTCTTAGACTACCCCAGGAAATAGGCAGTTTTCAATATCTTGGGTCAAATTTGCTAGGTTATATCTCGACCTGAGGTATCTATACTACTGATGTTTTTTATATTCTTAATACGTATTGAGGATGGTTTGTCGTCTTGTTCTTCTTTAGTTACAATAATGTTGGTTTGAACGATGATTCAATCGGAAGAAAACTCTAATTTGTGATAATTCACAACCCCCCTCCCCCCTCCTCCCGAAGCTACCTTCGAGTACGAGGAAATGCAGTGTCCCAATCGGAAAGTATACCGACAAGGCAAACCCCTTCCCACTACCGTATTCACCGCATCAACTAGTTCTAACCAGGAAGCAAACATTGTTAATTTTAGAAACACTTCTACCCGGCAATCATACTTCACAATACGAACCCACATGAATTCTTAGACTCTCGGCAATGGATACTCCGTCAACCCATTTTAGGGACTTCATACCATTCAGCACAAACGCGCAGTATTCCGGGATATGGATTGGCCATGGTGAAAGATAACTGGAAAACGTGGAGACAAGTGGTCTGGCCACATTAGTTATCAGGCCACTCTACGAAATCCAACTGTCAGGATACTCTGAAGCCAAGGCCGAGGAAGACCAACACTTATGCCAGAGAAGCTAATAGTTACGTGTATTGTATTGCATTGTATTGTATTGTATGTGACTAAAGGAATAGATGTCTCTCCCTCCTATCACCATGTCTATCGCATTCTCATCTCCTAGCAGGGTTAAAAGAGAAGAAAAAAAAGCACATCACACAATCACACAAGCAGCTTTCAAGGCAACATAAAGTTAGGCAGGCTAATACCTTTTATATTCGTCATTGTCCAGCATCTCACAACTGACAATAACTACAAAGCTATAGACATATATATATACTCCACTCGCCACCAGCCATTACAATCCCCCTAGTAAAAATCAGAAAAAAACAAAGCTTATTTACATACTAAAGGAGAGTGAAAACGCGATGTGACCTGCACAGCACGGTTGGACTCTCCTTTTTTGTTTGTTTCCACCTTGGATGTTCCATGCCTCATCTCCTACCTCGAGATGTTGGTTGGGCCGGGACTTCTTAGTTACGGCCCTGGCGGCCACCGGCAGCGGCGCCTGCGGTGGCACCGTTACCGGCTTGGCCCTGAGCACCGGCCTGGCCCTGAGCACCGGCCTGGCCCTGGGCACCAGCCTGTCCTTGAGCACCAGCTTGACCCTGAGCACCAGCCTGTCCTTGAGCGCCAGCTTGGCCCTGAGCAGCTTGGCCCTGAGCACCAGCTTGTCCTTGAGCGGCCTGTCCTTGCTGAGCAGTCTGTTGTCCCTGTTGGGCAGTCTGCTGTCCCTGTTGGGCGGTCTGCTGTCCCTGCTGAGCAGTCTGCTGTCCCTGTTGGGCGGTCTGCTGTCCCTGCTGAGCAGTCTGTTGTCCTTGCTGGGCAGTCTGTCCCTGCTGAGGAGTCTGTTGTCCTTGCTGGGCAGTCTGTCCTTGCTGGGCAGTCTGTCCTTGCTGAGGAGTCTGTCCCTGCTGAGGAGTCTGTCCCTGCTGAGGAGTCTGTCCCTGCTGAGGAGTCTGTCCCTGAGGAGTGGCCTGGCCTTGAGGAGTGGTAGCTCCAGCAGTACCAGCAGTACCAGCAGTACCAGCAGTTCCGGCAGTGCCAGCGGTCGCAGCAGCACCAGGAGTGGCACCGTTCTGAACCTGACCGTTACCAGTTCCCTGTGCAAGAGCCTGGGCAGCAGCGAAAGCAGCCGCAGGACTACCTGCAGGCTGGCCGGGCTGGGTAGGACCAGTTCCCTGGACACCGTTGATGACACCAGTCTGGTTGCATGCGGTAGGGCGGACAGCCTGGCTGGAAGAGCCGGTGGAGGCCATGTAGGCATCGATGTTGGGGAGAACGTTGACACAGCGGTTCTGGTTGATCAGGTCGATGTTGCCAGCGGCAGCCATACCCTGGACGGACATTTGCTGGAGCTTGTCGACGACATCCTGGAAAGCACCGCCAGTGGCGAGAGTGCTGTTGGCAGCAATGACGTTGGGGTCAGCGCTGTTGGCAGCATCGATGACGGCCTTTTGGTTGAGCTCGTCAACCTCGGCGTTGTAGGCAACAGTAGCGGCCTGCTTGAACTGGACGTTGTTCTGGATGCTGGCACCGTTGTTGAGGAAGTTGGAGACCATGGAGGTATCGGCCATCCAGTTGGAGACGGCCGTTGCGAGATCGCCGGCGGTAGGGGTTTGACCGTTGGCGATACCAGCACCCTGACCAGTGGGGTTGTTGGGGGTGGTTGCCGGTTGGGCGTTGGGGTTCTGCTGCTGAACCTGAGCGTAAGGAGCAGCGTAAACAGCAGAGGTGAGGAGAGAGGCGACGAGAATGTACTGCATGATGGCGGTTGTTAAAATTTATCAAAATTGATGGAATATGATTATGTAGAAGTTGCAATAAGAAAGTGAGAGATGCTGGAAGACGAAAATAAAAGATATTAGCCTGTTAGTGATTGAGGAACCTGTCCGATAATGATTCTTTGGGTGAAGGGACAAGCGGTACTTATACTTGCTCAGGCCAGCCGTCTGTAAAGGGCCTCACGAGACGTAAAGGCGACTGCATCGCAGTAGTGTGGAGATGGAACAAGTTAGATGCCAAGCTTCCGCAGACGTGCCGGAGAGTTAGCGGAGTGCTTGATGCTACGGTTTCGAAGCATGCTGCTGTTTGGTGCGCTAAGCTTCCCCAGGGCCTAGACGCAAACCAAACGAGCGCCAGTTGTCTTGAATCATGGCCCATTCCGGTCTGTTTGCCAAGGTTACTATGCTGTGTCCGAACACGGAATTAGTCACTAACGTTTGGCATGCCGATGTTGCAGTTTTGGCGCCGTCTGGGAAAAGGTTTCGTAGGCCTTGGCGCACTAGCCTTCACGCTATGGCGGGAGATCACCGGATTTTGTGTCGAAACCTTGTCCCAACTGACCCCACATTACGCCTGGATCGAGACAGGCGTGCCACAGGTTTCCAAATGCTTATCGTGTTTCTTTGCGGGGTTACTTGCGGTTACTATTTACAGAGGTGATCATTTGTAAGTTATACAATAACGCATCATCGACACGCTTTAGTGCATAAACAACACCGGTAGAATCTGATCTTTCGAATATCGCCTTAGTAGTCATACAATAGTCCAGGATGAGGCGGTGACAAAGTCAGTTGGCTCGAGCCTGCTTCGCGTCAGAATCCCCATATACACTCTGATACGCGCTAGAGCGGAACGGCACGTGATACAACACAAATGCTTTATGCAGCGGTGATAAGACGTCAAGATTAACCGTGATTTGTTAAGCAGTGCCTCCCTAGAGCCCCTACAGTACCTATACAAATCGTTTTGGATGTGACATAGCACAACGAGACAGGGCAACAGAGGCCAATGGGAGGCAATGAGACGTTTGGGTCGAGGCAGCAAGCCCATTTCGCAAATTGGGCCTTAACAATCACGAGACCACGGTTGATGAACACGATTCGCACTCAGCGGCGGCAAAGCTATGCACAGGGGCTTTTCTGCTATACGGAATCTATGGTGTCTCTTTCTGCGCGGGATCCATACTAGTCTCAACCTTGCGAATAAATCTGGCAGGATTGCCCGCGACTACTGTAAAGTCGGGAACACTCTTTGTAACAACGCTCCCGGCGCCGACAACGCTGCCTCTCCCAATAGTGACTCCTGGCAATATGCATACATTTCCCCCGATCCAACAGTCCTCTCCAACATGGATTTCCTTGCCGAGCTCTGGACCCTGAGTGCCGTTGCGAACAGCGGGGTCAAGAGGATGAGTGCCGGAATAGAAGCTGCAATTCGGGCCCACAAGCGTACGAGAGCCGATAGTGATGAGGCAGGTATCTAAAAAAACAGAATTGAAGTTGATAAAGACGTTCTCACCAAGACGAACGTTGTAGCCGTAGTCCATTGCCATTGGTGGCTCGATCCACGGGTCATTTTCGAAGAGCCTGTCGTCTTCCTCTGATGATTGTGCCTGTGGTGGTAGAGGTGTCTTGTCTTGGATGACACTGAATGCAAATGTGAAAAGAGAATCTTGCTGCATGAAAGGCTCATACATACTCTCTGAACAGCTCGGTAAGTTTCCTTCGTGGCACGTCGCCAGCGTTGTTATACCTAGTCCAAGCATGTTTGCACCTTGCTCGCTCGGCTACAAGTTCGGGCGTGAATGCATGGTAGAGATCGCCCCTGGCCATTCGCTTCTTGTTCTCCGAAAGTTCCATTGCAACGTTGCGCAAAATCACGACTGTAAGCCTTTGTACACACCTTGTCAGACTCGATGATGCCGGGGCCAGAGGTTGCGGGGATGCCCTTGACAAGCTAGGCCGATACTGGAATAGCGTGCGGATCTCGTGGGCTGCCGACTGGCGAGGCGCAACGTCAAGAACAATGGCAACCTTCTCTTATTCCTCTGAGCCTTGCTATTGTCTTGCGTTGCGGCAACCCGCCCAGCCTTCCGGTAGCTGTGCAGTTTCTTCTTCAGCGTTGTATAAAGCCATGTTCTGAACACTGCCGTTTGCCTCTTCCAGACCGCATATTCAAGTCCCCGCATACCGCTCTTCCCTTCCCTACCCGCAGCAATCATGGCTTCAAATGGCTCAACCTCGGGTATCGATATCTCGCTACCTGAGAACCCGGGGAATGGAAACGCACCATGGACCCCTAGAACAGGAGATAGGCAGCCCCCAAACGGAGCTCCCGCCACTCAGCCAAGGAACCCAAACACCATCTCTCCAGATTTCTACCCCCATGGCAAGCGCTCACTATCAGGCATTGCTGTGCGTGCCTTTTGCTTAGGCTGTGCCCTTGTGCTTGGCCTTGCTGGAGCTGCGTTTTTCGCATATCACGGCAGCCATCTATGGCGGCCTTGCCTATTCCTTAGCACGCTTGCTCTCTTCCACTTCCTCGAGTTCTATACAACAGCCGCATACAACACCCCGGTTGCCAAAGTTGCATCCTTTCTTCTCAGCAACGGTGACCAGTACCGCATAGCTCATACCATGGCCTTTATCGAGACATTCGTCACATCGTATTTTTTTCCCGGCTACCAATCCTATATCCACCCACCATGGGTCATCGCAATCGGTGTCATTCTGATTGCAGTTGGGCAGACTGTCCGCAGCATTGCCATGATACAAGCTGGCACTAATTTCAATCACATGGTGCAGTCGAGCAAGAACGATGGCCATGAACTGGTGACACATGGGTTATATCACTACTTCCGACACCCCTCATACTTTGGCTTCTTTTGGTGGGGCATCGGGACGCAGATCATGCTGGGAAATACTTTTTGCTTCCTGGCATATACTGCTGTTCTCTGGTCATTTTTCAAGAGACGCATTTTCCGTAAGTCTCACTCTGCTGCCCAGAAATCTTGCACATGTTCTAATCCGTATTAGATGAAGAGAAACATCTGCTGGAATTCTTTGGTAATGATTATAGGGAATACAAGGGGCGGACGCGTGTCTGGATACCTTTTATATGAATCTTCAGACCAGACCTAATGAAAAGTCTTAGGGGCGTTTATGCTGCAGCATGTCAATATTTACTGCTTACCTGTCCAGCCGTGTAGATTATCAGACTAGTCTATATGGATGCTTTTACGAGCGAGTCCTACGTCAACTAAATAATCATTCCTTTTTGTAAATGATATCGTTGTTGTATTATGCCGTCAAGAAAAGCGTTTTGACTATTGTTATGCACATAAGGGAAACAAGCTAAAATTTTGGGTAGCAGGTTCAAACTTTAGCGAGCGAACACGTACCTCGTTGTATCACAAATATTTGTCTTGTATCTTTTTGACACGGTCTCTATTTCCCCACGACTTGCAAGTTACGTTTGTTCCTCTTAGAACCGGGGGGTTGTCCAGGTCATGCCAACGTTTCCATTTCGCTATGAGCCAACTCTGAGTGTTGACATGCACGACAAGTGGCAACTGCGACGTGACTGCCCTGAGCCCTGTTTGGTTTATTCAGACATCACCACACCGCCGTCACCTCAACTGCTAAAAGCCCGTGCCAATACAACTCCATTGGTCTCATGCCAAATAACAGTGAGTCTCATCTTGCACACATCAGTAACGGCAAGAACTATCAAGCTTGCCTAGAAGCGTGCATCCACGGAATTGAAAACTTTCCTATCGATCGACGCAGTAATAGTTAGTCCACATGTCTTTTCACCGACCATATAATCTTGCTCACTGCTTGCTCTCACCTAGCCACGTCACCCCCACACAGCAGCACCAAAACAAAATCCCACACGCGTAAGACGAGTGCCACTGCTCAACTTCATCACTTCCATCCCCTCTGCTGTCACCCTTACGTGCGGGTTGCCATCAACAAACAAGCTCACCTCCGGCATCTTGTTTGCCTGCAGCTATGCACCGCTCGCGATGGGCAGACTCGTCGCCAACTGCTTCGAAAGGTGCCATGTCACAAAGTGCTGCCCCCTCGATGAAACCCAGCACCCCCGCTGTCCAGCCCGTTGCGAATCTGGGTGCCTTGAAACTCAAGAAGAGTGCTGTCAAGATTTTGGGAGCTGCTAGCCATCTGCCTCCTTCTTCTACTTCATCTGCAGCATCTGTTCCATTGCCGATGACACCCCCTGCTTCTCTGTCAGATAAACTGGAGCCTTTAGTAGCTGGGTCGTGAGTACTTCGCTATTATTGTGACTCAGAATCTCGCCACTAATTCCTGCAATCGCAGGTCTGTCAGTGTACCGCCAATCTCCAACGCAAAGGCAAACCCATCTCAGAAGGAGGATCCAAAGTCCGATGACACGCCCGCACTGATTGATGCTCTTTTTGCCCGCCTGAAAAGCAAGGACTCCAAGCTTTCTGCTCCCGCTACAGGCAGCAGCATGGCACTCGGAAATCACAAGAACGTGGCACAGATTGAAAGCCTTCCAAGCTCTAAAACAGTTACTCTGGTGGTTCCATTAGTACCCACGGAAGCAATTTCCAAAAAGTCTACCACAGATGGCTTACCAAAGCCCGTACAGGCAACGGCACAGCCCGCAGGCATCACTCAAACGGAGCTCGAGAACGAGTACATGCACAGAGCTAGCGCGTATGTGGATGCTCTTCCAAATACCAAGGAGGGCACGCCACAGCTCATCAAGGTCGTCTCCAATAAAATGCGTGTCACGTATGAACCACTCACGAGCATGGATTCGAAAGAAAAAGATGCTGTCAAGGCAAGGTTTGCGTTTGCTATAGCCAACTATCTCAACAAAACCTTACGAAAAGGCCCAACGGAGTGCACGGTTTCTTCTATTAAGCAGAAACTAGAGGATGTCGACGGCGACTTTCTCAGACTTTGCGTCATGCTCGTAGAAGAGAAGCACATGTCGTTAGAGACACTTGACGATGTTACCGGATTGGTCAAGGCTCTACTTGACATCCTTCTCAAGGCAGAATTGACCATTGTTCCAGATATGTTAGGAAGCAAGCTAGTGCTTGAGGACCCAGTCGACAGTATGAAAACATGGCCAACGCAAGAGAAGCGTAATTCCTGTAAGTCGATTGTGCAATATTTCATATGGTCAGCGCTAACAATGAATAGCTGTAGCTCCTCGTACATGTATCCTCAAGGGCGTCTCGGCCGTCACCAGTATCAATCAGCTTCAAGCTCTAGTGTGGGGTGGAAGGCTTGAGTCCATCTCTATGCCAGAGCCCGGTTCCTCGAATGCTCTTGTCAAGTTCCTCACAGCTGACGGCTGCAAGAAGTATCACGCGGATACTGTCAATGGGATAGAGGTTGTCGGAGACAAGAAATCCGCCGTGGTGTTCGTTGGGCTAGTTGAAGGCCCAAACTCCACCAACGATGTCATCCAGGGCTGCATCGATACCGGTATGACTCGGTGTATCCGAGCTATTGGAAAAGTAGACTGTACCGACGCGCAGCTCATGGAACTTGCCAAAGGAAAGAGCCAGGTCAGCAAACGTGAGGTTGACTGCATCAAGCATGGGAAGAATGCCCGCGGAGTGAGCTGCTGCCTACCTTTATTCAGTTGCAAAATGCTAACTATATCACTCTAGCATGAGTACATTGAATTCCGCTTTGCCAACATCTACCATGCACTCAGTTTCAGGCGTGAACTTATGGACAACGAGGACTGGGAGCATTGCAAAATCGGACACGCACCTGATCCATGCGAGCTTGCAACCGGTGTTCGCTACAAGGACAACGAATAGGGTGAACAGCCGTCTTTACTTCTTTACATGTACAGTGACGGATCGTGTTGGCTCCAAAGGGTGGTCGATGGTTTGATCTGTATCAATGTTTCCAGGCTTGAATTGTTCGGGGTGCATGAAAACCCAGAATCAAGAACAAGCCTGTGGTGAAGAAGATAAAATGGCGGGAACGAAGACAAACAGGATGTCATGGGATGAATGTAGCAATAACTAGTCATGGCACTCTAGGTGTGATAGTTCATTGAGCATCCTGGCCAGATAATGCAAGGCTTGTAATCAGAATCCATGCGAGATCAGCAGTAACAATGACCAAGTTTGAATCTATGTGATTGGAAACAGGAATGCCAGGCGCTCGGCAACCATGCAAAGGACGAACAAAGACAAATCCTTTTTCTGCTACTAATACACTCCGAGATGCTCGACAAGAACCAGTATACATGGTGGCCCCCTCTAGCAAAACCCATGGTTGAATAAAAAAACGGATGATAGCGTTTCCAGCAAAATACTCCTTCGAAACAAACCTTATTAAACGCCTTGACTTGATATCACCTGTCGTGCTGCTATTACCGCTCCTTACTTGATGCGTAGGAAAAATCCTACCGGTTCACAGCCGTGAAGCTCGCATCCGTCATCTCCGTGTCGCCATTCTGCGGTGGAACAGCAGCAGCAGCAGCAGCAGACTCGGTCGTAGTAGCAGCAGGAGGCTGCTGCGCAGCGCCAGAAAGCGCGCGTCGCCGACCGCCTTCCTCATCATTAGCCGCAGGCGCCGGACGCTGCTCGTCATACGCAGGATCAAAGTACTGGCGCTGGGGCTGAGACTGCGACTGCGCTGGTTGCTGGGGCTGTAGCGACGGAAGAGAATGTAAGGGAGGCAGGGATGGCGGCGGTGCTCCATTGACGACGCTGGTTGGGGGGCTGGCAGCCGTGGTGGCACTGCCGGCTCCGACGGTGCTGAAATAGTTGCTCTGCGACCGGCCTGGGTCTGGAGTGCTTTGCGCGCTGCTGACGGGATTCACGCTGTGCGATATATGGCCTATGGCTCCTATCCTTCCTTCGGGACCTAGTCTCTCCCCTTCGCCCCCTGCAGTACTGCTCGCGCCACCGGCGCCGCTACTGCCAAGGGGTGGGGTGCCCTTTCTGTTGTGGCTCCGCTTGCTGCGCAGCGGCTTGTCGGTTGGGGTGGGCGGGGGGCTGCTACTCCGATCGCTGTCATCGACGTTGTACTCCATGTGCTTGTTGAGTTGTTCGAGGAGAAAAGCGCGCTCGAGGCGCATCTTTTGGATTCCACGGTTGAGGCGGGTTATGCGCAGGCGCGTGCCATCGTTGTTGTCTTCAATGTCGGTTATCCGGCGGCGCAGATCGATGCATTTGCGGTAGTAGGCGGTTTCGACCGACGGCGGCAGGTCTTTGGAGGCGATTGCGCGGGAGGCTAACGTGACTGTTTAGTTACAAATGGTCTACTTGAGCGACATGCGACGCGCCTTACGCGGTTGTGGCATCTTTGCGCTCTCTTTTTTGCAGTGTTTGAGGTGTAATTCCAAAAAGTCGCAATGAGGTCCCAATAGCTTGACGTGTGGTGTCGCGGGTGGGCTGAGTGGTTGGAGGATATGGGGGTTGTTAGTCTCTGGGGCTGATGGTTGGACGCGCCCATGTTGAAGCTCGAACCTCTGTGGGGCCGACGTTGTTCCGAATAGCCTCACCTCCTGTGGCAACCTAGCCTTGGCATCAATACCACCTAGTTTTATGCCATCTACATGAATCCTACATCTTCTTGCATCAGGTTGCCTTGTAATTGCCGTAGCATTCGCTTGCCTTCTTGTAGGTCACTGTAGCCCCGCATGTTGATATGTCATTTCACCATCTTAGACCAAGTGTGTACGAACGCAGCTAAAGGCGTGATCGCTCTTGCCGCACGTTTTCAAATGCCTCGAGTACTCAGAAATATTGCTTACATACATTGGGATACTCGCTCACCGGACTTGAAATAGGTGTTAGGAGATCTGTGAGATAGAACCGGGTGCGCTTATCCCAAATGGGACACCGACTACATATGCATATCAAACTACATGTGCATATCACCGGACGTTTGGCTGACTCGGAGGTGCTCCCGTGCTGAAAAAATCGTTCATTAACAGAGAGACACCGGCTTGTTTGACTCTACTTATTTATATTCTCACTCCCAGCCCCGCCTAGTACTCGACGTTTGGGAAGCTACGACAAGCAGTACTATATTTGGCAGTTGCGCTACAGCCAGCGCAGCTATATAACCTAATCTGATACTCTGTCAGAAAGTCAAAACCATTCCTCAAATAAACACCCCGCCGTACGGTTGTAGCCGTGTGTTGTGTGAGTAGACTCGCTGAATAGTGTTTGGTCGGCGGGACTTCGGACTGCTTAAAACGCCTCGCTGGCAATCGATCGATACCACGTATGAAGAGTCTAATCCATACAGAATAGAGTAAAGTAAAGATAGGACCAGCAAATCATAAGATCAGGTGATGATGGGAGTGCGGTGTGGCTTTGGTTCTTCATATGCAGACTGCACAAAATCGAATGACCCTGACTATACAAATCTAGTAACTGGGTCTAGATGCGCTGCCATTGAAAATCAGTTCATACACATTAGAGCTCTGAGCACAGAACATCAAAATCATCATCTTGTATTGTTGTCAACGGTACCAGAAGACATGTTGTGTAATTCTTCAAAAGAATACACATAATCGACTCCATACAAGCTACGAGGTGAGATATGGGTGGGTGGACGGGGAAGGGAGAGAAGACGTATAAGATATACTTCTTTAAATTTCTGTAGGTCTGGGAATGTGTATTATTCTTTACTCATTAGTCCCTGATGTTGCTCTTGTAGGGTTGCTTGTTGGTGACCAAAGAAGATAGTGTGTAAGGAACACCTTAATCCTTAGTACTATGATGTTAGATAAAGGCTGACCCTGGATCCGGCAAATTCCACCATCTTCTTTCAGAATCCGCATGTGACTTAACAATGGGTCGTGAATAAGTAAAAATTAGTCCTGGGAAGCTTGGAATATATATTTGCCCTCACTCGGTACATGTTTTAAATCCGCACAAATTGCCAATGTGGTTTTCCAACCGGTACTTTGCCAAAAATCTTTTCTGCCTGAGCCGCAGTGCCAGTGCCAGAAACGAGAGTAAGAGGTTGTTTGTCGCTTTCATCTCGTCGACTCTTTTTATACAGCCGTAACCAAACAGCATCGGCATTGCTGCATTCAAGCGCCTGGCATACGTTCTTACTTTCTAGAGCTGGATCTAGTATATCTAGTATCTCTTCGAACCGCTCAGCTCGGACTGTGACGTGTTCAGCAATAGCACACAGCAGCTTGACAAGGCTATTCCAAATCATGCGCGAAGGTGTATCAATGTACGCTTCTGGTCGCGAAAATTCGGTAGTGGGATTCGCGGATATTGAAAGACTCATCATATCGGTCTCTATTCTGCCAGTATGCACTGCTTGTGTGCTTTTGTTACTGTTTTTGTTGGTGCCAATTTGCGTGTTGGTACGTTTATGCACCTTTTGTATGAGATGCCATGCATCATCGATTCTTGTCCTCATGAAGTTCCCTGCGTGTTCGCATATAAGCGCTATGGTATCGAGAGTACTAGATACAATGTACGCCTCAGGATCTTGAAGTCGAGGCAGAAGTACAGGCCATAGGGTGTTAATGAGCGGTAAGAATGAGTTTTCATGTTTGGCGAGTGCAGGCATGGTGGTTTGGAGGAGGGACAGTAAAGAGCTGCGTAGTGAAGGAGAGGTGGTCGTCAAGTAGTGTTGTGTCAACTCGGAGATCTTGAGAAGGATGTTGAAGGTGCGAGGTGCTGGTGGCGGAGGCTCTTCTGTCTGGGGTGGTGGATGTTCGTCCTCTTCACTTGGATTACCGTTGACATCTTCTGGGTTCTTCTCCTCTTTCCAAGGATTCTGAGGGAAAGACTCTTTTGAGGCTTTCTTCTCTTCCTCGTCCCGGCGGCGTGAGTCAACTTCTAGCTTTTTGAGTGTTTCCATGACATCGGCCATTGTGAGCTCCATGCTCTGCTTGCCTTCGTGCCTTCTATTGCTATCTGATTTGATTGCAAGTTGAGACGTTTTGACGCCTTCCTCTGTCATGCCTTTCAACACCGAGAATAATAGCTCTGCAAGTTTGGGATATCCGTGATATCTTTCCAAGGCTTCAAATATGCTGTCAACAAGATCATCGAGATACGGCAAGAGAGATGGACCGCACAACCGCATCATCATGAGCAAGACCTGCGGAGCTTGGGGCGAGACATCTCCATAAGCAAGTTTCAGACCGACTGCGTTGACTATGTAGTCGACGTTTTTGACGACCAGCTCTCCTACATTTGCATACCCGGATTCATCTGCAACAATGTTCAGACATGTCAAGGCATGTTCGCGCAGAGCCGTGTTGGAACTCCCCAGGTAGTGAAGTATTGGATAGAGAACCTCGCTCAGCTCGGGCCGAAACTCAGTCTTGTACTGTTTAGCCTGTAATGCTACTGTCTCGAGCGCTAGGGCGAAGAAATGCCAGGGCGTCTCTGTAGCTGGCTCGCGCTGATTTAGTAAAGAAAGGGAGTGCGAGTACAAATGGTCCAACAGCTCTTCCCTTGGATTTGGCGTTCCAAGATCCATGAAATCATCGATTGATGGATTGATTGCAGCCGCCTCCCTGACCAGATTGATTGACAACCAGAAGCTAGCCAGGCGCATTTCACCTGTCCCCATATCTATGGAGCCCATGAGTGCTTGTACTACTGCCAGAGCTGAGTTGGACTTTGCAATCTCTTGGACTAAAAGCTTGAACTCTGACATCATGTCATCCTGGCCTTTGGAATGCAAGCTGATGGATGGAAAGGATAACGATTTCATAGAGTTCAGAGCTAGGATGCGATTGGTGTTGGTATTGTATGTGTTTTCATTCAACTCCTCCAAACCTTTTGCATCAGAAAAGACGGCAGAAACGCCGTCGCGTAGGCTGTCGGCTAACCGCTCATCTAAGATGATTGGATCTTGTTCAAACAACCGTAAGGAAACCGATATCTGATTTACGATTCGGCGCCGATTGTGATTATCCTTGGACTGCATTAGTCGCGGTAGTGCCAGTATCCAGCCGTGCAAGCTTTCGCGTAAGAGATCGGAAAGCTTCTGGTCTACGAGTAACAGTTCCTTGAGTTCGTGCTCAATCGAGCCGCCCGAGCTTTCGTGACCAGCCAGACTAATCATAGTCTCGGTAGCCATGCTCATGCAGAGAGAAAGCGATGTGCGACAATCTTGTATGATGCACAAACACAGCCTGAGAAGGGCTTGCCGGACTTCTGATTTATCATGATCTCGCAGTTTGAAGACATTGGCGAGTGCAATCTTGATCTGCGAGGAGGTCGCCTGCAGCCAGGAAGTTGAGCGCACTACTTTGATACTATCTTCCGAACCTTTAGTCGGGTCTTCATCGGGTAGATCCTTGACTTTTGCGTCGCTCAGGAGACGACCGAGGAGCAATGCGAATACATCCAAACCTTGCTCAACGACCCGAAAGCCTGGTCGGTTACTGCTGCTTGGAGTGAGGACTTTGGTCAAAGATGAGATCATTCTAGGCAGAAAGCTCGCAAGAGCGTCGTCGTCCGCTATGGCATTGATGGTTGATTTTGTTGCACAAACGGCCTGAAATTTGATGTTATTAGCATTGCTATCTGTGAGGCTTTGGAGCATGACCAAGACTGCCTCTCCAAGAGTAGGGATATTTGGAGTTGCTGTGATGGCCTGTTGGCCCTCAGCTGTACGAGATACTCCTGTCATTAACTCGGAGATGCACTTGAGTGCCAAGGATTGAAGCTCTTCAGATGTGGCTGAGATGCCATTCTCTGCAGACGAGGGTTTGGCGAGGAAGGTGAAGAGGATGAGCAGCTGGCCAGACAGAGCTGGCTCCAGACGGCCTCCCCAGCCCGCACATAGCAAGGTTGAAATGCACTCAAGGCAAATTTCGAGTGCGCGAACAGGGACTTGGCGTGAGATTCGCAACACTTGCGAAATGGGGACGAAGGCGTACTCGGTCAGCTTTGCATCCAACAGACCGGGTTGGCTAGCTAGAGCGCGCAGTATAGTAAGCAGATCAGAAAGGGCATCTATCAGGTCCTTGCGAGTACTTTGGTTCTGCGAGAGGCTGGCAGTGACCTGCAAGAGGCGGATGCATATTTGCTTCAGCTGAAAAGGGATTAGCGTAGGCGTATGACATGGCGACGACGGTGCTGCTGACCCGTTGAAAGACTTGCTGTCTGTCCATGCTGTCTGTCTGTTTGTTGGGTTTTGGGTGGGGAAGAAGCAACCGTGGTTGGGTGTGCAGCAAATGCAAGAGGGGTGCTGATCAGATAGTCTACCGGCTTTGGCTGCCAAGTGAGGAGAATGAATGGCAGACTCAGAAGGGTGCAGTGTAGTGAATGTGCCAGCCAAGCATGTCGAGACAGCCAGGAAGGGCAGGCTGCTCCATATATCTATCCACTGCGATGATTGTTGTGAATGCGGGGGTTGTGGTTGTAGAAGAGAATGTAATTATGGGTTAGAGATAGGTAGGCAGGGTGATGTGTAAAGGCAGGA